CTTGATATGTAATTTTTACAATGGAAATGATGAATCCATATTTTTACTAATATTTTAGCATAATTCTAGCTCATTTAATAAGGAAAATATATGAAGAAAGCAGAAAAACTCAGAAAAAGAGAATGATTGAAAGTTTTATTTCAATTTGTAGTTATTTTCGCATTTTAGAATTTATGCTTAGTTCTTAAGGAATTTATCTTGTTTTTAAAGGAATAATCTGAGCAAAAGTCATGGAAATGGATTATCAATGGAAAGGAAGAGGAAGAATGGCAATGTTGGACTCCAAAATACAAGAACTATGGGATGCAGCCTGGGCGTGATCACTATTGTTAGTGAAAGTGATCATTCCAGAGCCTAAAGGAGAAGAAGAGCCTGTGCATAATCACTTTTATTTATAAGAGTGAGCGTTGCCAGTGTGCGTTGCCAGTGTGCGTTATCACTTTCATCAGCGAGAGTGAGCGTTCCAGAGAAGACTCCATTCCTAATGAGCTGCGCGTTGTCACTTTCGCCAACGAAAGTGAGCGTTCCAGAGGCACTTGTATCAGGACAGCTTGCGCGTGGTTACTATTACTCACGAAAGTGATCACGCGCAGCCCTTGACCTCCTGCGTTGCCACTATTATGAATAAAAGTGAATGTTCCAGAGAAGCCTTCAACTCTGCAAGTTGCGCGTGGTTACTCTTGCTCTTGAAAGTGAACACACGCACTACATAAAGCTTCTGCGTGGTTACTCTTGTGAAGAAAAGTGACAACGCGCAGAACTGGGGTTTCTATATATACATGATTGAAGCGCGAAAACTGGGATCTTTTGCTCATTTTCTGTTTTGTTAGTTAGATTCTCGTTGAGAGAGAGTGGAGAGAAGATTGGGGTCGAATCTTGAAGCTCCAAGAAGAGGGATCGGATTAGAGCTCGTGGCCATGGCTGCTCTGCATTCTTCTTCATCTCTTCTTCTTCTTTCTCTGTTTTTGTTGCAATGTGTGCTTAATTTCCCATAGTTAGGGGTTTATGGAACTCGAATTGATGTGTTGATTCGACTTTATCTTTTGAACTTAAAGTTCTTGGATTAATTGAGTTGTTAATTCTGCTTTTCATGCAATCTTTGAATGGAAATTCATTTGATTAATCAAGAGGAATCTTTACCAATGGGAATTGGATTGTTTGCTCCGATCTGAATTGGCAACCAGAGTTTAGGGATTCTTAGGGATAAGGAGACCTAATTCTGCAATCTTATAGTTCTAATTCTTAATGCAACTTGAAATTGAATCTCACCTAAGGGATTAGGGAGGTTTAGTGGATTGTTAGGGTCAATGAGTTAAGGAATTAACCTTTGGCTATTACTATGCGAAACTGATTGTCAATTAACCAAGTTCTTGAATGTTCAGAGGCATAATTGAATTAATACTAATATTCTTGTGAAGTAAATTCCTAACTATTCTTCATTCCTATCTCATTTCATTACATACTCTGTTTTTCTGCAAGTTCTTTACTTTAATTGCTTTTGTTTACTGCTGTTATATGTTACAAATCTCATTCCAAAATTCGTATGGCTCAAATGGTTATAATTCTGTGAAGTGGTACTTGAAACCTAAATTCCCTGTGGAGACGATATTCTGATCTTAAATTTACTCATCACTTGCTGCAATTCTAGTGCACTTGCTAATGTTAGATTGCAAACAACAAGTTTTTGGCGCCGTTGCCGGGGAATTTGAGTTTCAATATCATTAGTAACATAAGAATAGCTAGATTGAGTATCTTGTTCTCTGAATTTCTGTAGTATTAGTCTGTAGTTAGACATTTTGTCCATTCTGCATAATTCTGCAACTTTTAAACTTGTGTTTCAATTACTTTTACTGATATTTGCTGCATAATTTTCGTGGTGCAGTTCTGAATACTAACTTGTAGTTTACTTTTGCTTCATTTTGAATTGTATATGCGTGGCAAAAACAAAAACAAATCAACTCTAGTCTTTGATCCTGACATAGACATAACCTTAAGAAGATTGAGAAAAGAGTCTAGAGCAGAAAAAGTCATAGGGAGTGATAGTGAGTTAGAAGCTGTCCATTCTCCAGAATCTCAGAGTAATCCTAGAGTGAAAAGAACACCTACATCTTTGAGACAACTAAATTCAGAAATAGAGATGGCAGAACAAAATAGAATTAGACCATTAGGGGACTATGCAATTCCTAACATGCAAGGTTTTAACTCTTCTATAATCAGGCCAACTATTCAAGCCAACCATTTTGAGATGAAACCTGCCTTGTTACACTTAGTCCAACAAGATCAGTTTTCTGGTGGAAATTCTGATGATCCTAACTTACATATTTCAAATTTTTTACAGCTATGTGACACCATAAGAATAAATGGGGTTAGTGAAGAAGCAATCAGACTGAGACTATTTCCTTTTTCCTTGAGAGATAGAGCAAAATGCTGGTTACAAGCTCAACCACAAGGAAGCATTACAACTTGGACAGAACTTGTGAACAGGTTTCTAACCAAGTACTTCCCTCCATCCAAAGCTGCTAAACTGAGAGGAGAAATTACATCCTTTGTTCAGCAAGATGGATAATCATTGTATGAAGCTTGGGAAAGATACAAAGAATTGCTAAGAAGGTGTCCACATCATTGTATTCCAGATTGGATGCAATTGGAAACTTTTTATAATGGGATAATGCAGTAACAAGAACAATGGTTGATGCTGCTGCTGGAGGTTCATTAAATACAAAGTCCTTGGAAGAAGCTCAGAGGATTATTGACATGATGGCATCTTCAATGTATCAGAATTCAAACTCAAGGAATCAAGGAAGAAACTCTAGTCATGAAGCTAAAGTTCTGGAAACTTTTCTTGCACAAAATCAGCTACAAAATCAAATGTTTTCAGAACAATTAGCTGCCTTAACATAACAAATCAACAATCTGCAAACAGGGAGTATGCCTACCAGTCAGCTAAGTTGTGATTTTTGTGGAGGAAACCATGCAAATGGTGCATGTGAGGCATCCACAAGTGAACCACAAGAGCAAGTGAATTATATGAATAATTTTCAGAGACAACAGCCATCATATCCCCCTGGATTTCAATTTTCGAATAATAGAACTCAGCAGTATTCTAATTGGAATAATCAACATTCTGCTGCAAAGAATTCTAATTCAAATTTACCTTTTTCTAATGCAGGTCCAGCAACACAACAGCCTTATTTTCAGAGGAACTCATCCACTCAACCTCAAGGAAATCAGAAATTTTCTAGACCTATGAATGAGAGGTTGACTGAGATGGAAGAAACTATGCTGCAATTCATGAAGGTGACTCAAACAAGCTTCAAAAACCAAGAAGCTTCCATGAAGAAACTAGAGACACAGATTGGAAAATTAGCTGAACAACTATCCAGCAGGGATGAAGGAAGATTTCCAAGCAATATAGTAATCAATCCTAAAGAGCAATGTCAAGCCATAACTACAAAGAGTGGAGCTGTAGTTGCAAGCCCTAAACCAGCAGAAAAGAAAGTGAATGATGCAGCAGAAAGAAACATTGAACAAGATCTGCAACAAGGAAATTTTAAGCTATTGAAGAAAGACCATTCAGAAGAAAAAGAAAAAGTTCCCATGAATTCTGAAAGGAAAACCAAAAAGCAACTCTTTGAGGAAGCTTGTAAGCCAATAGACCCAGAAAAATACAAGAGGCTGCCCTATCCTCAGAGAGTCCAAAATCCTAAACAAGAGGAACAATTTGAAAGGTTTATGAATGTCTTTAAGAAATTACAAATTAACATTCCTTTTGCAGAAGCTTTGGAGCAAATGCCTTCATATGCAAAGTTCATGAAAGAACTACTTTCCAGAAAAAGGAAGCTAGAGCATGACAAAACAGTACCTTTGACAGAGGAGTGCAGTGCCATTCTTAAGAGAAAGCTTCCTCAAAAGCTGAAAGATCCTGGATCATTTAGCATTCCTTGTGAAATAGGAAACTGCACTGTGGGAAGAGCATTGTGTGACTTGGGAACAAGCATAAATCTGATGCCATTAGCTGTTCTACAGAAACTTGGCATAGAGGAAGTGAAGCCTACCAACATTACACTGCAGCTAGCTGATAGATCATACACTTATCCATATGGAGTTGTTGAAGATTTATTAGTTAAAGTTGACAAGTTCATTTTTCCTGCAGATTTTGTGATTCTAGATATGGAAGTGGATTCTAACATTCCTTTGATCCTAGGGAGGCCATTTCTTGCAACCGGAAGAGCTTTAATAGATGTGCAAAAAGGTGAACTTATGCTTCGAGTTCAAGATGAGAAGGTAATATTTAATGTGTTTGAAGCTTTAAAATATTCAGTTGAAGATAATACATGTATGAAGGTAGATATACTGGATGCTTTTATTACACAACACCATATGAAAGAATTTGATGAAACTGCTGTGTTAGAAGAGATAATATCTGCAGGGAATGACAAATCTGAAACTCTGAATGAAGAAGATATCATGGAAATGCAGCAGCAATTGGAAGCTCTGCCGATCCAAAAACCTGCAGAAAATTTAGTGAAAGAAGAGCTGAAAAAGGACGATAAAGAAGAGGAAAAGCAAAAGCTAGAACTGAAACAACTCCCTTCACACCTACGGTATGCATTTCTGGATGAGAAACATGTAAATCCAGTCATCATCAACAATGAACTTAAGGAAGAACAAGAGGAAAAATTGCTCAGAATTTTGAGAGAACACAAATCTGCAATTGGCTGGAGTATTGCAAATCTGAAAGGTATAAATCCCTCATTTTGTAAGCGCAGAATTTTATTTGAAGAGAATTTTAAGCTTGTTGTGCAGCCACAAAGGAGGTTAAACCCAGCCATGAAAGAGGTAGTTAAAAAAGAGGTCATAAAGCTGTTAGATGCAGGAATAATATACCCTATTTCTGACAGCAATTGGGTAAGTCTAGTCCAAGTTGTTCCAAAGAAAGGTGGTATGACAGTTGTACCTAATGAAAAGAATGAACTTGTCCCTACTAGGACTGTGACTGGATGGAGAATGTGCATAGACTATAGAAAATTAAATGATGCAACCAGAAAAGACCATTTCCCACTACCATTTGCAGATCAAATGTTAGAAAGACTTGCTGGACATTCATTTTATTGTTTTCTTGATGGGTATTCAGGATATAATCAAATAGCTGTAGATCCTTTAGATCAAGAGAAAACTGCATTTACATGTCCATTTGGAGTCTTTGCATATAGGAGAATGCCATTTGGTTTGTGTAATGCCCCTGTCACTTTCCAAAGATGCATGCTTTCTATTTTTTCTGATTTGGTAGAAAACATCATAGAAGTGTTCATGGACGATTTCTCTGTTTTTGGTGATTCTTTTGATGATTGTTTAGCTAATCTATCCACTGTTTTGCAGAGATGTCAAGATACTAACCTTGTGTTAAATTGGGAGAAGTGCCATTTCATGGTACAAGAAGGCATTGTCCTTGGTCACAAAATTTCAGAGAAGGGAATGGAGGTGGACCAAGCTAAAATAGAAGTCATTGGTAATTTGCCTCCACCTGTCAATGTTAAGGGAGTTAGAAGTTTTTTAGGACATGCTGGTTTTTATAGAAGATTCATAAAAGATTTTTCCAAGATTGCTAAACCCTTGAGTAATTTACTTGTAAAAGATGCAGATTTCATATTTGATGATAATTGTTTGCATGCATTTTCTGTTTTAAAAGAGAAACTGATTTCTGCACCTATTCTTGCAAAACCAGATTGGAAATTACCTTTTGAACTCATGTGTGATGCAAGTGATAGTGCAGTGGGTGCTGTTTTAGGACAGAGGAAAGATAGGAAATTACATGCTACATATTATTCAAGCAAAGTATTAAATCCTGCACAAGTGAATTACACAACAACAGAAAAAGAACTTTTAGCTGTTGTATATGCTTTTGATAAGTTCAGATCATATTTAATGGGTTCAAAAGTGATTGTATACACTGATCATGCTGCTCTTAAATATCTTTTGACAAAACAGGATGCAAAACCCAGATTATTAAGATGGATTCTACTCCTCCAAGAATTTGAGCTAGAAATCAAAGACGAGAAAGGGAAAGAAAACAGTGTTGCTGACCACTTGTCCAGACTTCCTTTGGAGAGTTTAACCACTGAATCATTGGAAATAAATGAAGAATTTCCAGATGAAAAGTTGTTTGCAGTGGAAAACATGCCTTGGTTTGCTGACATTGCATATTTTAAAGCCACTCAATTCATTCCAAAGAGGTTTACTTGGCAGCAAAAGAAGAAGTTCTTACATGACAGCAAATTCTATGTGTGGGAAGACCCATACCTATTCAAAATTGGAGTAGATGGGTTAATTAGAAGATGCATTCCACAAAGTGAGCAAGCTGAGATACTATGGCATTGTCACAATTCAGAATATGGAGGCCACCATGCAAGTTCAAGGACTGTTGCAAAAGTCTTGCAAGCAGGTTTCTTTTGGCCTACACTCTTCAAAGATGCCAAGAAGTATGTGGAAAACTGTGATAAATGTCAAAGAACTAGAAATATTTCAAGAAGACATGAGTTGCCATTAACCAACATCTTGGAAGTGGAACCATTTGATGTATGGGGGATTGATTTCATGGGACCATTTCCCCCATCATTCTCACCCGAATACATTCTAGTTGCAGTGGATTATGTGTCTAAATGGGTAGAAGCAATTCCCACCAGATCAAATGATGCAAAGGTAGTGATTTCTTTTATAAGAAAGAACATTTTTTCAAGATTTGGTGTGCCTAGAGTGCTGATAAGTGATGGAGGTACTCACTTCTGCAACAAGTATCTTGAAGCTGTATTAATGAAATATGGTGTGAAGCATAAGGTTGCTACTCCATACCATCCACAAACAAGTGGACAAGTGGAGGTTTCAAATAGAGAGATCAAGCAAATTCTAGAGAAAGTAGTGAACAGTTCAAGGAAGGATTGGTCAAAGAAACTGGATGACTCACTGTGGACATATAGAACTGCTTTTAAAACTCCAATTGGTATGTCTCCATATCAGCTAGTATTTGGAAAGGCCTGTCACTTACCTCTAGAGCTGAAGCACAGAGCATATTGGACTACCAAGTGGCTTAACTTTGATTTGTCAAGTGCTGGAAAGAAGAGAGTTTTACAGTTGCATGAATTGGAAGAATTCAGACAACAAGCTTATGAGAATGCAAAGTTGTACAAAGAAAGAACCAAGAGGATCCATGACAAATTTATTCTGCAAAAAGATTTCAGAACTGGCCAACAAGTACTATTATTCAATTCAAGATTAAAATTGTTTCCAGGGAAACTGAAATCTAGATGGTCTGGACCATTTTTAATCAAGGAAACTTCTCCCTTTGGAGCAATTCTTATAGAAGATCTGAAAATAGGGAGAGAATTCAAGGTCAATGGCCAAAGATTGAAGATCTATCATGGAGAGGAGTTTACAAGGAACATATCATGCATGAAACTGGTTTCTCTTGAGTGAGAAACATTTAATGTCAAGCTAATGACATTAAAGAAGCGCTTTGTGAGAGGCAACTCACATTTCTAACCCAATTTAAGTTTTCTGCATTATTTTTGAATTAACAGTATTCATAGAAGTCAAAGTCTGAACTTTTCATCTTGGTTACCTTGCTGAATCTGATGTTTGGAATAAATCTGGTGACTGAAACAAGAATGCAGATTGGAATTAATTAGAATGCTTAAAGTTCTTGTACAGTCTGAATAATAGTTATCAAATTCTGCAAATTCTCTGCAAAATACAAATTTCTGCATCATACTCATCATATTCTATAATTTTGATGCAAAAGGTAAATTTTGAAGCATGCTAAATCTGTCATTTGTAGCGAATCTGATAAATGCAATTGGACTTCATGCTATAATGTGTTATGGAAAAGTCAGAATTGCATTGTGAATATGTTAAGCAGAAATTATGCAGAATTCAACTGTGATGTTTGTTGCATCTGTAATTTGGAGCGAAAATGATGAATGAATTGAGAGTTCATGATAGGAGTGTGTAATGTAAAAGTCAAAAATGCATAAGTAGGGAGTGAATAGTTGTTCTGCAGAAATTCTGCAGAATTCAGCCTTGGATGAATGTTGCATATGTAATTAAGGGTGAACATGATGAGGGAAGTAGGTATTTTATATGGTAAGTGTGTATTGGAATGATTATGATTTGTTAAGTGAGCCAATTAAAGTTTGGAGAACTTGGATTGATGAAAGGAATCACTCTTTTGTAGGAAAGCAATCACGCAGAGATGGAATTCTGAGATTTCTCCTCTGGAACAATCACTCTCGCTGATGAGAGTGATAACGCAGAGGCAGATGGGAAAAACACACTCTCTGGATCACTTCCTTTCCTTGTCAAGAGTGCCCACGCGCAGGTAAGTATGAAATATTTCTTAGCGCGTTACTCCTTTTAATGAAAAAAGTGACCACGCTCAAGCAAAAAGCTTGCGCGTTATCACTTTGCCCAGCAATAATGATAACGCGCATTGCATTCAAAATTTCCAAGCTCTCTGTAACACTCACTCTGTTCGACAAGAGTGACAACGCAGAATTTTATTAATAAGGGAACGTTCACTTCTCACTTAAAAAGTGGGCACGTGCACACGCGTGACCCCAGACTCCATATAAAGGAACCACGCTCACATCCATTTAAACCTAAATCCCCATTTCCCTCTAAAATTCCTCTGACTTTCAATCTTTCGTGAAGCAACCAGCAAGCAATTGCTCCTTCTTTTTCACTGTCATTCACATTTCTGAAGCTCAAGGTACGTTCTCTGCATTCTCTGAAATTGTATTTAGGGTTTTTCTTTGCTGCAACTCTGGAAAAATGTCAAAAATGGCAAAGGGGAAATATCTTGAGCGTATTCAATTTAAGGAACTTTAAATACTGTGAATAAGTTTTCAAAGTCATTCAATCTTCTCTGTTAACATATTCACATCTGCATTATGCGAAAAATCTGAACATGACTTTGAAAGAAATAGAAATATTCCAGTTGCCATCAATGAAAATACTCTTTGCATGCAATATTTGAATGTTAATGTCTGAACTGAGTTGTATGGAACTAATTACTGCTGTATATTGCACTGCCTGATTGTACAGATAGCATACTGATAGTCCTGCATTAAGCTGATCTTTAGTCTTTGATGATAATGAATGAGTGCACTGTCCTAATTGTATGTGATTCAAAGAAACAATAGGCAATATTCTGGATGGAATTTTGCTGTCAGAAGATAAATTCTTTTAGGAACCATTAGTAGTTGAAATGTGGTTGGAAATTGTGATTCTTTTTCTGCATTCTTGGTGAAATTGTGAACTCTGAGGGAACAAATTATGAAGGCCAATTTAAAATCCCCTGAATATGGTTTGATTAATTTTGTACCTAAGTTCTGGTATATCTGAAAAGTTAAGAGAGCATGTAAAAAAATATGTTGATGACCTATAATAGCATCTCTACGTTAACCTGATGTGCTTTGAGAGTGTGCACTCTAAACTACAAATTTAAAGGTTTAACCAATTTTGACTGTGATTGCTTAGTAATTTGCAATAGTGCTTGTGTTTATATGATTACATTCTCATGACAGCAACTAATTGTAAATAGATACATACTGCAAGTTAGAATTCTGCACATGGATTGATTGAAATTATCTAGTAAAGAGATCTATACTGTCACAATTCTGTGTCATGAATTTTAAACTGTCAAATTACTTGCTTGTTTTTGCAGCCACTTCAAAATGGTCAGAACTTCTTTGAATACACCAGTTGGACCTTCTAAGAAGACCAAAGCTGGATCTGCCAACAACACTCCAAGAAGGAGATCTATCAGGAATATGCAAGCTAGAACAGCCAGGAATTCTTCAACCACTAAAAGAGTAAGAACTGATGGTGTCTCACCTTCCTCACCCATTGAAATCGCTGACCCTCCTCAGCCAAGTGTACCCACACCTGCAACCTATTCACCACCTCAGCCGACCAGAAGAAATGCTCCTTCTACCTCTACCCCTACTGATCATGATCCAAGATTCAGGAGTATTGCTCACGAAAACTATTTCAAGGCAAATATTCTGAGGAGGAAGATTGTCCCAGATAGAGCCTTTGAAATTGCTGAAGGCAACTACCCTGAGTACTCAGAAGAAATTCAGAAAAGGGGATGGGACAACTTCTGCTCCTTGGCTGATAATGGTTGGAGAGAAATTACACAGGAGTTTTATGCAAATGCAATGCGGTTCAAGGGAGACCAAATTCCCAAATTTCACACAATGGTCAAGGGTATGAGGATGGATTTCACTGCTGCCAACATCAATCGAGTGTTGGAAATTTACACTAAAAGGCAACCTGGGCAGATGGACTTCACTGACTTTAAGAATAGTCCAGACAAGGATTATATTGAAATCCTGCACAGAATTGGAAGGCCAGGCACAACTTGGCAGCTAAACCTCGCCCAGAAACCCAAGTGTATCACCACCAAGAACTTGCTACCATTTGCTAAAGTCTGGAGTACTTTTCTGTTGAACTCTTTCATGCCCGTCAAGCATAGCTCAACCCTGGCAGTAAAGAGGGCTGAATTATTGTTTGCTATAGTTAATGATATGTACATTGATGTGGGGGAAGTAATTAGTGAATGTATCTTAAATATTCTGAAAACAAAAAGAGATTCACTAGCCTTTCCCTCATTAATCACTTTACTTTGTGAGGATGCAGGGGTTGAAGTTGGAGACTACCAAGAGAAAATCAGATCTGCTCCCCCTATCTCTGTCTCAATGGTAAAGGAAATCTATGCCACCACCTCCTGCACTTCAGCTGCACCTATCCCCACCCAGTTCAGAAAGGAGAAACCAATGAAGATGAAGGACATCCTCCATCTTTTGGTTGAAAGGCAAAATCAATTTGCTGAACGACAAACTGAGCTCCACAGCAGTTTGAAGGCAGGAACTATGCTATTGGAATGTGTGTTGATGAATCTTGGTCAGAAGATGGGAATGACCAAAGATGAACTTTATCACACACCAGATTTGGCCAAGAATGCTCAATGTCTATGCTCATCAGTCTTTAAAGACTTGCCAATCTACAAGACTCATTTTCCACAGCCAACTGAAGAAGTGGTGGAGGAAGAAGAAGATGAGGAGGATGAGGAAGAAGATAAAGATGAAATTTCTGATGAAGAGGATGCCCAAGATGACTAGTTTAGGATCTTTGTTTTCTTTTCTGTTAATTCGAATTTTCTCTTGATGGTCTTGTAATTAAGTTTCAAACTTTTTGGTTTCATTTTAGAATTTGGGTTTGTAATTTGCACACTTGGTATATTTTGGTTTCATGCTAATTCTGAACAATTATGTTTTGAACACACATTAATTCTGCAGAATTCAATCCCTTTTCCCTTGATAATTGACAGAATTTTTGGTGTTTTGTGCAGAAAATGTCACAACCACACAACACTCACACACCATGGAAGCTGACACTTGCACCAGCTGCCATGAAAGGGGGGTTTCATTCTCTACCTCTTATTCATGAGTTAGCTTCACAATTACACTGAATTATTCCTGAAAAACACCAAAATACTAGAATAGATAATAAATTGCTGGCTGTTAATCAAATAAAAATGATTGACAATTTTGTGAATTCTGTGTGAATTTCTTTTTAAGTTGTTTTTCCCATTCTCAAAATGAGATCACACTTGTATTTTCAAAAATGAGGCAGTTGCCACTAGGTGCATATATTTCTGAAAAGTGCATTGTGTTTTCATTCATCCACATGATCACTTATAAATACCTAGTGAGATTTGAGCTGTCTAATTTTTTTTTTCTTGTGTGATTAATCATATTTGGCTGTATTCTCTAGAACTTGCCCTTGTTCTTAATTGAATATGCATGCTACAGTTTTCACCCACATGATAAAGGCCATGTTTGATTATACCTAGTCAGCCTAAATGCCTTCCTTTATGATTGAATGTCTTAGTTCACCCTTTTGAGCTTAATATCCCTTTTCTTGAAATTACCTCATTATAAGCCTTGCTGAAAAACCAATTTTTACCATTCAAAAGATCAAAGGCATAATGAGTTTAATCAAGAATGAGTTTTAAAACTAAGTTTGGGGTGGCATCCAGATTTTAATTGCTTGAGGACAAGCAATGTTCTAAGTTTGGGGGTGGGAAATATCTAAGTGTGAATTCAACAAGCCAGAAAGAAAGAACAAAAATGATGCAGCAAAATGAAAAATTTATGAAGCAAAGTTGTGAAAAGAACAAAAATGTGAGTTCAAAAGAAAAGAAGTGC